AAGACTGTGTTCCCCAAAAGACAGACTGGTGGGAGAGGAGCTGTTCTGTCGAATCTATGAAGTAATAAGTGAAAATGAACATCAATATATAATACTCTAAAAAGCGCACTATGTAACTTTTCTGGAGGAGAGAATGCCAGCTGATGGTCTCCATGGAGATATTGGGTTGTCTATAATGTTCAACAATATGGTATTAAATGTATCTGTTAAATTAATTTCAATAACAGATGTGTTCAAAAAACCTTGGTATACATGGATTCTTAGTGTGAGTTAGGCCGCTTCTCCACAGACCAGACCTGTACCTTGATCTGGTGACGTCACCTCATTTCTCCATCGGTATAGATACGTTTAATTCCATATTGTGGATTGTTCCATGTAAAGCAATCAAATCTTCATGGCTATAAACAGATGCGTTAGGGTTATAATTAATACTTACAATTGAGCCAGGGGCAGAGTGAGAGTTTTGAGGAGAGCGCCGGGTTGACGGCAGACCTCGAACAGGACTGGAGCCATTTCCACCTTGAAACTAAACAGAGAAATAATGAACAGAACTGACACAAATGGATATTATTATTTTTGCAACAAAGTGTGAAACTTACATCAAAGTAATCACTGATTTTTGGCCCACGTGTTGAGGTCTTCCCTGCATACATTTAAAAAACTGATTAATGTTTGTAAAAGGGAACATTCAAAAACAGAAATGAACAACCAGTAAAGTAGATGCTTTTATTCATCAAGCATTAAGTTACGAATACATTTTATATCTTTCAAATGTACCTTGACTGCTTTCTGAGTAGGTGTCCGCTTTCCTCTTTCTGCCTCTAGATGATTCAGAGTGCTTTTTCTCTGGAGTCTGTTGAAACAAAAACAGAAAAAAAAGCATGAATCCCGGTGGCTTACCCAACAAAGCAGTTTCTACAGCTGCAACTCAGAAGATGCAGAGGAAAGTACATACTGAGTAGGCAGGGGAGCTTCCACGTTTTAAATCAGAGTTCTAGGACAAAGAAGAGGAGAAAGAGGTAGTGCAGGAGAGAGGGCGAGCAACAAGATGCATGCATGTCTCATTTACACCATACAAATAAAAAAGTAAGGCATTTAAATAACTTAACATGTTTTCTCAAAATTGGCAACACTATATTATGTCTAATTAAAGTGTAGTTATTATAAAGCATGCAAAAAGACTTAATTCATAATAGTTTATTAAGGATGATACTTGCTTAGTAACTGCCTTAATAATACAGGTACTAAACTAGAATCATTGTTAATTAACTATTATCAATTATTATGAATTAAGTTTTTGTTCATGCTTTGTTAAGGCTAATTAAGTTGTAGTTATTATAAAGTGGTACCATTTATCCTGACTAAGGTAGAGAAACCGCACACAGACAGTTAATCAATTTACAATAAAATGCTATATTAAATATATTTAAATATATATATATTATATTTATATATTTATTTATTTTATACTTAAATACTGTGCACCTGCTCATGTAGAACTATGTGGTAACTTGATGTTTTAGTGTGCTTTGCTGAAAAGGTTTACCCATCTACCAACCTGGATAAATGTGTTTATTTATCAAAGTACAGTATCTTGTGCCAATTTGCAAATCAGAGTTTCATCAGAAATGTAGCTTACCTCTGACTCTTTGTCACTGGATGAGCCGAGGCTGCCGTAGCTGTGGTTAGACGATTCATTTGCCAAACACTGAGCAAAATAAGATGAAATAAATAAGTCCTGTTTCACATATTTACTCATAGATCTATAACAGAGCATGAAGTTACAGAGTGCAACTCAGTGTTTTTCATAACAAAGCCTTTCAGTTGTTAGGTGTGTCAACTGGCTCCTCTCCAAAATCACAAATATTACTTCTGAAAAATCACTGATACTGTGTAACCTGTTATATTGTACTAGAAATTATTCTTTGTACTTCTTTGTAAGCTACAAAATCCTTAATACATGGAGTGAACGCTTAAGGATTTTGTGTGGTGTAAAATGAGATAGCATTTTTTGTGGCCTGCGTTACCTTGGCACCTCCACTCCCAGTGCTACCTCCTGTGTTGCCACTGACACCTCCAGTGAACCTGGCCTCCAGCAGCTCTTGTCTCCGGGGGTCCAGGCTTTGAAGCTCCTCCATTTGACCTAGGGGAAAAAACAAACACTGAAAACCTGAAAACCAAATACGTAAAACCACTTTTGACTGAGAGATACGTTTAATTTAGCAACAAAAAAAGAAAAACAAGAGTGAAGATTAAATACTATCTGGGGGTGGATTTGAGAAAATTGGATGATTAGTCGATATAAATAGAAGTCGGGCTTGAGTTGACTCGACAGTGGGTTGTTATTTAACAATTGTATTTTCATAAGGAATATTATAAAGACATATTTTTCTTAAGACGATAAGTTGGTCAAGCAACCACGGCTCCTATGAACAATGCAGGACATTAAGAAGAAAAAAGTAATCTTGAAGCACACAAACAGTAAGGAAGCCAAGATAAGGTTGGACACACTGGAAAATATTTTCTTACACATGTTTGAGACCAAGTCATTCAGAGTTGTGCAACATTATTCTGAGAAATGGGGCTCATGCTTGGTCTAAACACTTTCTTTACTTTTTGGACAACTTCCAGAAAATAACAATCCAGGTGGTTCTTCATATAGACGTAGAATATTGACAAATACAGTGGTCAAAATATAACTGAAGCCTACTGTCTGATAAAGCAGCAGGGTGGGCCTTGAGTGACAACTTGTTTCTCTGGAGAGACATAAACGTGTAGTTTCTGTGAGTCAAGGTCCCAGAGACACATGTCAGCCCTGGTGAATGCTTTAAAAGATTTGGCTTGCTTCCTTACTACACGTTTCCTGTCTGTTTTTTACAATGCAAGCTCCACAAGTGTTGTGTTGTGTCCAAAAGTGGCCACACACAACTCTTCACATCCAGGCCCCAAACCTGTAAAGGTTACATCAGGACAGGAGGAGGCTACAGGGGGGTTGTAGAAACCTCTTTTTTCAGCTTTATAAAATGCGACTACTTGTAAATATTTATTAGCTGAGTGAAAAAAAAAATCATTAATATAAACTTTCAGTTAAAGTTAAACAGTTAAACATTAATTTAACGGACTTTATAACACAATATTTACTATTTAGTAGTTAAAGTACAGTCTATTGTAGCTATGCACGCAGTGACTGAAAAGCAATGCTGTGAATTACATATAACTCTAAGTATAAACTTAAGTCCTAGTTAAGTGCGGGAGAATTTAACTACAATGCAAGGTAAATATTGCCATTGTGGCATCTAAATTAACCAGTGAAAGTCTCGTTTAAAGCAGCTTTTAGACCAAAAAAACATCAACCTATATATGCTTTATGCAAACGTGAGCTGCAGCTTCTTCAGAGTGGCCATCAACTGAACTGACAGCTGACGTTTGGCTACAACACCGCATCTCTGAACTTAACATCCATTTCTCTCCAACAAACGAAACTGCAGTGGAGAGAAAATCACACAATTCTACGGTAAAAAGCGCAGTTTAATGTGATCAGAGGTCGACCCTCGACTTATTGTGCTCCTGTACCTTCCTTGCTCTTTGCGGTCGCCGTTATTTGTTGTTGAGAAACGGTTGGGGACGAGGACCAAGATGGCGTCGCCTCCAAACTTCCTCCACTTCCACTGTTACTTTGGACACTCATGAAGCCGCTTCACCGCCGAGAGGAGCCAGCGCACACACGGCACACACGACTGTCCGCGGAAATCCCACACTCGCGTCCATCCTGTGACACCTGCTGAAGGCAAACCGGACTGAAACGAGAGTCCAGGCGGCTGTAGCACTACTACACGCCTCGCATTGTCGGAGCCGTGCGGGTCCCGCGGAAGAGCGGCTGCTTCTCGCTGAAACAGATCCAATGTAACCTTTGCATGATGACCGCAGCGCGCTGTCAGCAGCATCCACTGCTCTGATTCTTGTATCGCGAGGCTGAGCTCTCCACAGCGCGATTAGGGACGGCCCACAGACATATGGCCTGACATCTCAGATCATTACACTGCTCCGGGGTTCACGGCTTTGTAAAGACCATGGTAAAGACCCAGAACAGCAGCAGTTAACAAACAACAAACAGAAAAATGGCCGAGAGTCAGTCTAGTCCTTCAACAAAATTAATACTAACGCTAGAGAGCCTAAGCCTATATATTCTACACAATTTATGTGTGTAACAACTAGACTATTAGCCTACATATAATCCACTGTCAATGTTTTCACCATTGCAATTAAAAGGACAGCGAGGTTATATAGACCCCAGGCTACTAAATGAACACCTTTGAGAGGTTTGGGAATAATGCAATATGCAATAGTAAGTCACATAACTAATTAATAATATTTATTACTTTACATTTGTTAGGTAAATTGCTATAGGCTACATTCCTTGAAAGCTTTGCAAGTGAGAGGGGTGGGGGGAAGGTGCAGGTGGGGGATAGTGATGTGGTCTGGACATAAGGTCTTTGTTCCAAATTTGGTGCAGTGCATCAATATGCCTTCCTGTATGCAGTGTACACAACACATGCTGCTGTTTTTCCTGAGACTTATAAATGTACTTGTAAAATATGTTGAAATATTTGATGGGTCTTTGTTGTCTAGTGAGTAATGCATTGATGTTTCTTGTTTAAATTGCCAATATGTACACCGTAAAGACAGCAGTTTTACGTTACACGAGCAGCAGTCTGTTTTTTGCAGTCTTATTGCATACCGAAGATACCACAAACATATTGCACCTCATCTGCACCTGCTGATGCCATCCTTTTTTGTCACATGGTTTCCATAGTAACAGAGAGAGGGTCTTGACAGACAACAGATAGTTGTGTAAAATGCAAGTAGGCCTACTAAATATGTGATGTGCAGTTTAAGATGTTGAAGTTCCACAGATTCAATTCAATTTAACTAAGACTTGGCTCTTTAGAATTTGTATCTGTATTAATTGCAGTTTGAATAAATAAAAGGCAAAATCTATTTAGATTTAAGATTTATTTTTAGTAATATTAACACATGTTAAAGAACAGTGAATTTTAAGTTACACCTGCACAAACATCAAATCAAAAAAAAAAAAAAAAAAAAAAAACAGCTCAAATGCCTTATTGCAATAATTTGGTGTTTACAAACACAAATTGTCATTCCTCAATTTAATTGGTTGAACTTTTCTTTCTTCATTGTACATATTAACATAGGACTGTATCAAATCTACCATTGTTTCGCTCTGAAAAAGAAAAGATACATTTTTGTTGTGAAAACCTTTTCTGTTAACCAATATGGAGCACAGGTTTAAATCAAGCTTTACCTTTGGGCATTCACAGAAAAAAGTGACTGCTCCCAAGAGAGTTCCTATGGTCATCTGAAATTGTGCACCTTTACTGTTCCAGCCTTTGAGTCGGTTAAATTGATACATGGCCAGTAACTCCTATAAAGCATGACAGCATTAGAAAAAAATAAGCATCATGTTACACGGTATATGGGAGGTAGAAATATCAGACTCAAAATACTTACTTTTGTTGCTGGGTCAATCAGACTCACACCCTGCTTGCTAATAGCAATCCTGAGATTGGTCGGGTAGCTAGATTCACAAGTTTGCTGTAAAAACAGATGGGGTTTAAAAATTTAACATTGGCTTTTCCAATCATTTGGCTTCATGTCCACAGAGCCACAGTCTAAATACCTTGATTTCAAAAAAAGATGAACCAAATGTAGGCCAGCTTGATATTGTTTTCAAGAAAGCAACTTTGGCCTCCTCAACTGTACTGCCACTCTGCCGGTTGTAAGATGAGATGACATGCTGCAAGAATAGTCATATGCCTTCATAATGTGCACATAGAGAATGCTGAACTCTTTACTGAAGTTACTAATCCTACCTTCTTCCATTCCTCTGGGGACATTATTCCGATCTGATCCGCAGGCACCAAGTCCTTCAGCATTTTGGGAATCATGACAAATTGTGATCGGTCTGAGTCGACGTGCACTCTGAAGAGCAGCCCAGCCAGTTCGATCATGTCCTCTTTGGTACAATCATGGTACCCCTCCAGATATTTAGGCACCTCCTGATGTGGAACAATACAACAAAAAATAAGGAAAAAATAACTACAAATCCGATAAAGGGTGATTTTAGGCAGTGCTGGAGGATACCTGTGGAAAGTGAAAGGTGAGGTCTGCAACAGAGTCCTTTCCTGGGCTCACATTGAACCAGAGCTTTCTCTTTAAGATGACCAGGTATGGCACTCTGGCCTGGTTTCCTAACATTGATATTAATACATTGCATTAGTTTTCTAAGAAATAAAAGTGTTACATGTCAAACCTAACGAGTGTCTTACCATCTTTTATCTTTTTCACTTTCATTCTCTTAGGAAGGTCTGAAGCTTGTCTTAAGCTGTCAAATAAATACTCCTGGTCTTCTAAGCTTTGTAACTATAAATCAAAACAAAACATCATTATAACAAACTGTTAAAATTTAATACATTCATTTCTTTAAGAACAAAAATCATCATACCGGCTTGTTTATCGTTTTCAAGTAAAGACCATATCCATCTGCTGAAAGTAGTTGGAGACAATGAGCAATTCTTTGGCAAAAACCCTTGATTGTGATTGTTGATGAGACTTCAACTATCTGTAATATTGTTGAAAAAAATGTATTAAGCAGTCAGTTATTGCAGTGGACAGGTGAATGTGACTGTTAAGGCTTACTTTCTCAGTTTCATTTGGAAAGTAGACTTTATGGAAAATCTGGGTGCTGTCTTGTTGAATGGCATCTACCTCGACAAAATGAGGTGGAAGTTTCCTAGGTGGTTTACTAAAGCAAAGAAAGAGCATACAGTAAAATCATAATGTTATTAGTGGTACAATGACACCAAATCTGTAAACCAATGAGTAATTGAATTGATGTTAATTTACCTGAGTATGCCTTGCAGCCGCTGCTGACACTCAGGAGACAGGGGGTCTCTGGGTCGAGACTCCAGGAACCGTTTGGCATGAACCATTAAACTGGGGCTGGGAGCAAAAAGGCCTGTACAGAGCCACAAAAGCTGCCACCCACGGGTCATACTCAGCCTGGAGATAGACACAGGTTTATGGTCTATGTGTCACAAAAGGATTGGTTAAATAAACTCAAAGAAGCTGCACCTGTTATTGTTGGAGGTCATCTGCTTCATGATCTGACAGTAGATCTCATCCTGCAGAGCCTCGTGCTGAGTGGCTGGACCGAAGATCTGGTCCGTCAGTTCTATGGGGCTGCGCACTTGCTTAATGGGGTAGTCGCCCATATATTTGAGAATAGGTAAGAGACACTGTCAAGGCAGTACTAACATGGTTTTATTATTTACAGGCAGTAAGCAGATGCAATGAAAATGTCAGACCAACATAAATTAGAATGATAAGGATATCAGTGAAGGCATTGCAGGCCAAGTAGCTGAGATCCGAGTTGCGGACTAGGCTCTTGAGGAGAGGCTGTTTGAGTGGCTCTCTGGAGCTGACCCACAGTTTCTCTCTGACTCCTCTGCGCACCCCCTGTCGCCCGGCTTCTGTACCTGGCAGACTGTAGGGGGGAAAAACAACTTTTATTTCATTAAGTATGTTTATTGTTTTATTAAAAGGAAAATTATAAATTAAACAACATTGCTAGAATCACAACTCTACATTTTAGTCATAGTCATAAGATAAATTATTAAGAACTAATCCTGAAGTGTGTTACCTGAAATGTTCAAGTGCAAATTCTTTCAAAGACACAGGGGCCACGGTATGTTGAGGAAAGTTAGGTGTTGCAGGTGCATTTCGGCTTGGATTGAGCACATTCTGAAAGAAAAGGATGCATTTCTTTCATAAAGGACTAAAGCTAAATGGTACTAATGTTACACTAAACCGCACATACTATTGCTGCAGGGCTGGGCATAGTGAGAGTGGGCAGGAACTGAAGTATGCTTTTATAAACCACTCCAGTATCGCCGTTTCTCTGATTGGTGGCTATATACATGTTGTCGTGAGGAGGGTGTTCATTTTTCCTAATCTGCAACACGTCTCCTCGTCTACATACAAGATGAGTGGGGTCTTCTGTGAGGAACAATGTACAACGATAATAACTGTCATAATTTTAAAAGACTATACATCTAATAATTACTGCCCAACTTGTGTACTGTGACATGGGGGCAGGGATGGTGATTGTACCTGGTTTACTGTTGTCAGTGAGGACGATTGCAAAGTCAGAGCGTTCTCGGAGTCCCTCTAGATTTCTCCTTATAAGTGCAGTCATTTCTTCAGCCTCTGCAGTTTTCAGCACAAACTCTCCTTGAAAAGTGGCCAGTGTGACCAACTGAGCACTGAGGTATCCTTCACTGCATACATACAAAACATAGGGAATGCCATTATTAAAATAAATCTAATAAAATAAAGAATAAAATTGGGTATGATTCATACCTTTTCATGGATGCATTTTTAACTTCAATATAAGGGAACTCAAGTAAACGCTTGTCTGGTCCATCAAGAAATATGATGCTGCTCCAGTTGACAGCAACGATAAACCGACTTTTATCCAGATCAGGTCCTACAAAGATGAGCAGAGCATTGTCACATCTGACACACCATAAATGCTCAGCAGTATACTGACCTGATGTCATTGTAACTTCATAAAACCTGGAGAAGAACACAGGCCATTTTTGTCTGGCAAAGTCAACTAGTTCTTCTTTTGTAGTATCTGCGCTTTGCCTGCCATAGTGATTTAGAGCCTGGAAAACATGTTTAGCATGGCTTTTTATCAGAAGAAGTTCTAACATGATATATCACTGTATATTGCATGTCTTGTAATATGCATATGTATAGGTCAACTAAAATACAGTGTTAATAAACATATATTTAAGTACTGTATTATTAACTCTCCCAATGTACCTGAGAGTGTCCGGTGTTGATAAGTTGTATCCATTTGTTCATAGATTTACTTTCAATTAGAGTTGTGGTTATACAGTCACCAACCACCTTCCTGGCATTGAGTGCATTATACTCTGAGCCAAACTGAATGTAGTAGTGTTGAACTGCCAAAAGCACATAGTCATCCTCCTGGGAATCACACCAGGATTATTACAATAATAACAATAATAATAATTGCAGTGTCTCAATAAAGCACTGTTGTGAAGTGCCTTACCTTGTCACTGGTGTATCTTCCAGACTTTACTTCCCTAATGACCTGTTCATAGATGAGAGTGGTGCTCACTGGGTCAAGGGAGCAGTCATGCCATGGTGTGAACAGCTCTTTGCGAAACAACAGTTTCCAGGGAGTGTTCTTTTCCTCTTTGCCCTGCCTTCTCATCTCCTGCTCACACTGAGACACTGCGTCCAAAACATGTCTCCCACAGCTGCCCAGGGACCATGTCTGACAGTATAGATGATATAAAGAGATTAACCAAATTTAAACTGTGACACAACTGCATAAAGGGAAAAAATGGCTCACCTTCTCTTCAAAGTTAATGTATAGAGAGAATCCATAGGTGTCAGCCAAGTCGACCTGGTTGGCCACAGTTTGACAAACCTCAGCTGATGTGGACGCAGAGTCCAGACTCACTGTCACAGTCTGGTCATTCATTAGCTGCACTGAGGTGTCAATGGGCTTTTTGTTCCTGGCAGCCTGATGGAAAAGAAAAAAGCTCTCAATAATCTTACTTTTGGGATCAAAAAACTTTATTAAGTGATCTGTTCGCAAATTACTTGCTACCTCCAGTTCAATCCAACAGGCCACCTCTTTCCTTTCTCCATTGGTCTTTATACGCTTCAGACGTTGAGAGCAGTACTCTTTGTATCCATTAGGACCTCTTTGGATGAAATTCTCCAGGTACTACGAAATATGATACATGAATAATGACTAACTTAACTTATAGTTTCTAGTTTAAGACAGAATTATGTTCTTAATTATTCCCAGGCAGGAAACAGCAAAGAACCATGGCCATATTGTGGACTGTGGCCTTAAGGTTATGATTATCTGGTGAACTGGTTGAAACCAACAAATAATTGGTGATTTTTTTGTTATTTTTCTTTTATCTTTAAGACAATAGTATATTCAGATGTCATCTTTATTCGTTTTCCATAATAATGTTTTAGTGATCTGATTTTGTGACTTAAGTTTTACCGCACTGACTATATCAGTTAGCCTCATGGGTGTGAGCCACAGCCGTCGTGGTTATCAAGTTGTATTTCAAATTGTGATTACTTTACCATCTATTACAGTAAGTGAATAAGGCATAAGACACAGGGCCAAATGTCATGTTTCAGTATTAAAGTTTCAGACCTGCATGAAGAGGTCTGTGGGAGGGAAGATGCCGAGACAGATGGACAGAAGAAGCCACCCTTGTTGGCGACTGTAGCTCTTGTTATTATTGACCAGCTGTTTACAGATCTGACAATAAATCTCATCTCTGTAAGAAAAATGATCAAACAGTTATTTTTTTTCTTTACACTTCTTGTATACTCCCAATACGTGGTTTTACCTTATTCCTGGTCTGGATATTGCATATCCAATAATAGTGTGCACTTTTTCCAAAGAAGTCATTGGTCGATCCAGTGTAGGGCCCTCTCCTATCAGAATATCTTCTGTTTCTTCTTCTGGCTGTTGTACAAATGTATTTGGTAAAATATTTCCCAGAAAAAAAATATTATTATCTTTACTATCTCTCTTTACCTCCTCCGGGATAATAGATGCTTTTCTTGCTGTTCCACCTCCTCCGAGCTTCTTCTTGTTTTTTCTTAATAATAGCTAAAAAGTAAGTAAAACTACACTGTCACACAAACTAATTCAAGACATGCAAATCAAATGCAATAAATGTAATTTATTTCCCCAAACTGTCATACATCATACAGATTGAACTTTGATTGTTAATTACACACTGAAATATGTCCAGTGCACAATAGACAAATTTTTTGATATAGAGCAATAAGATATTATATTTACCGCATCTATCCCCACCAGGCTGCTCAGTCTTCTGCCCCCTCGGTTTGGAACTGCACTTGAAATGGTGCTGGACGCCAGTGACACCGAGTCATTTGATCTGGACTCAGGATGGTCCCCCATGAACCGCAGAATGATCCACCAAACTGTGAGACAGGCCTGAAATATACATATCATGGTTAATTTTCTTCTCCACTGTTATTTCTATCTTAGTTCTTATTGTTTTTGTTTTGATACCAAAGCATCTCCTTCATCGTCATGAGCCAGCAGTGGTTTTTTGAGTCTGTGTGTAATGTGGGATGGAGAAGCATTGCCCTGGAAGTGAAGATCGCAGAACTTGTTGAAAGAAAAGGGGGCACTACTGTCTTCAAAATAATCATCTTCTTCTTCTTCTTCTTCTGCCATGGATGAGGTCCTACTTCGGTCTGACTCCTTCTCAGAAATCACTATCTTGGGTATGTACTGCCATTTCCAAACAAATAAATAAATACACAGGCATCAGGATGATAATGCACAAAACTTAAAAAAAAATCACTAACCATAGCTTCTTTAGCCACAGGTATATCTCCTTCGGCAGATTCCAGATCCGATTCTCCGTCGGTCGTTAGTTCATCCACCACTGCATCCTCCATTAACTGGAGTCCCTCTTGTACCTCCCTTGACATTTTCTCACTGATCTCTTGCTGTTTTTGCATTATTTCAATTTGCGTTGCAGCAAAGTACCCCTTGTCCCTCATCTCATCTTTTTGTCTATCTCTTTTTATTTGGTTCCACTTCTTTCTTGCCATGTATCCCCGAACCTGCACATATAATGACGTGTAGAATGAAAAAAGGTTAAATGTTTGCACTGGATGGAGTAATTGATTGATAAAATGTATAATCGTGCCTGAGACTGTATTGTGATGGCTGCTGCTCGCTGTCGTATGTACTGTTTTCGCAGCTGTTTGTTTTTTATTGCGGCTATGAGTCGTTCAAAACCAAGCTGGATCTAATTAAGAGAAAAAAAAGTATAAAGTTACAAATAATAAGAGTTTGGAATAATGAAATAGATTGCTAACCTTTCTTTGTGCTTTATCCTTCATGTGAGCTCTCCAGTGTTTCTGTAACACTAAAACTGCAGCTCTTTTCTTCAGAAATAACTTTCTACAAAACAAAAACATTTTCAATTTCAGCATATCAACTAAATGGTCAAGTGTATGGTGATTTAGTTTTGGACATTGCACCTGTCTTTGATTCCCAGCATGACTCTTTGGATGACTAGAGCAACCCTGCTTAGCTCTTCTTCCCTCAGCCGCTCCAAGGTCATGTCATGCGCGTCCTGTCAAAATAACATTTTATTAGACATTTAGTTAAAACATACAGTCTGTAAAGATTCTCAAATCTTTGCATGTACATTTATTACCTTTAGAAAGACCTTGGTTCTTCCTATTTTCCATTCGTCCTCTTGTTTGATCACAGCTCTGCAGATGGCTTCACAACAGGCTGCAGCACTTTGCTGGACACATATTAATTATGATGAACAGACATTTATCGCATAAAAGTCATTAAGACAGACAACAAAGATATCATTGTACTAACAGTGTTTGGGTTGCAGATGGTTGTCTTCAGAAGCACTCTGTACCGTTTCAGGAATTCCACAAAAGAGTGTCTAATGGGATATCCCAGTTTCCTGATGCGGATTGTGTCCATCATTCCAGAGTATCGCAGCTGCTGTATGCATAGCTCTCTGTCAAAAAACTAAATCCAAAGAAGAAATATGTTTAACTTATAACCATAGATGAAAATGTGAAAATATATCAAAGGTAGGTAAGGTAGACCAAATGAAGATCAGTGTCTTCATTTGTTCAAACACTTTTATTTGATTCCAGTGCTGGACAGATTACTTTGCAAAAGTAATCCAATTACTACTGTGATTACTTTACTTCAAAAGTAATTTGATTACTGATTACAATAAGTTACTTTGAAGAAAAAGAACACACATTTTTTGGTAGGGAAAAAGAAACTAAAAGTTACTAGGCCAAGTAACTGTAATCTAATTACTCAATTTTCAAGTGTAACTAGTTACATTACTGCATTACTGAAAAAGTAATCCGATTACAGTAATCCTGTGCTTTGTAACTAGTTTATTTCTAATTCTTTTTGCTTTAAACATTTCACAACATAGATAATAAGTATTTTAAAATATGTAATGTAATTTAGCAATGGTGATGTCAGCAAATCATAGCTGATAAAGTGGGGCATTCTGCAGATATGAAGACGTCACAAAAGTGTACTTTACACTTTTCCAGTGACTCCTCTAAACCAGGACACTTGTCTATATTTTGTTTTATGGACAGATGAAAGAAGCCAACAAGGATATTAGTTGTGCTATACTTGTTTATCCTAAAGGTACAATTGACTGATTCTTAATCAAAGAGCCATTAATCATTGGCCACGCGTTCACCTCTGAAATCTTATCATTGTTTGGTTTGAAGCAGCGAATGAAGTATGGCTGGCAGGCAGACAGAGCCTTCATGAGGGAGTCCAAGGACTGACGAAACTGACCACTCAGAGTCTGCACCTGTTTATGGTTATCAGCCTGGCCCTATTGGGAAATAACAAAATATATGATTATATTACTCCAAATCAAATAATATTGATAAACACTGACAACAATTTCTAATCATTTTTATTTTTATTGATACAGTTATGTTTAGAGTAAAAACACACAGTATGTTGCTACTTACCCGGAATGAGGTGGGAGGTTTTATGCTGATCCTGTGGTTATTGGTCACTTTGACTCCATTGACTCCATTCACAGAAAGTTCTCTTTCAAAAGTCTGACGGAGCAACCTATTTTTGGAGGATTCTACCATTCTGATCACATCAAAGCTGATGGCATCTCTGTTCTTCTCCAGAAATCCTACAGAAAACAAAAACATTCTTTCACATCATAACATTAAAAACACACTTTTGACAAGAGATAGTTTACCTTGAGAATTGTAGTAGACCACACCAGAAAAGTGATGAACCCCAAAGTCTGTATCGTGCTCACTCTTTGTAGGGATGTATAATTTGCTTCGTTTATGCTGGGTGTTCAACTTGATTAGCAGGGTGCCATCTGTACCCTGCATGTCACCAAAACGAGTATGATTAAAATAATGTAGAAATTTATCATGGATATTATAGGACTTACCTTTGGAAAACTGGTTTCCTCATCAATCAAAGCTAGCAGGTTACATGGTTTGACAGCGAGTAGATCTAGAATGTTTTGGTTATCGCTGAAGGTGATGTTATTCCATACAATACCTTCCTTCTGATACTCTTTCTGCTCCAGTTTAAAAATATGTCCCACAAAAAACTGCTGTAGCTTCTCATTGGCAAAATTTATGCATAGCTGTTCAAAACTGCAAAACAAAACACACATATACACACACACGTTTTGTTGCAATTAATGTGAAAATTAATGGGTGAATATTTGTACATATTTTAGTGCTTCACAGCATAGGGACCTGCCTTTCTTACAGAGACAAAAATCAGGTCCCCATGACGTAAACCCTTTGTTATAAGATCAAAAACATGGTTTAATGTTCAGATGTGGCTTAAAATAAGTTAAGGTTAGGCAAGTACTGACTATGATTAAGGTTAGGATCAGTCTCCAGGAAATAAAAAAATGTATAGAAACCGAACATTGATGCACTTACCTGTTTTTGTTAAAGTTCTCAAAGCCAAAAATGTCCAAGAGTCCCACCGACAGGAAGGAGGATTTGTGGTTTGTCTGTAGTTTCTTGTAAATTACAGTGTTTATCTTATTCACTATCCACATGAACAGTTTATTGTAGATGGCCTTGAATTAAAAAAAAAAAAAGTATACATGTGTTGAGTTAGAGCTGTGTCCAGTTGTAAAATAAAGCAATCTAACCTAACCTAAAATATGAGTTGTCATGTCCATGTGACTACAATTTATCATAGTTTTAGTCTACCACAAAATATTATTTAATTTTTACATGACATTTTCACTACACTGCAATCACATATAATTATTTTGACAATATAACCTAGTCAAGCTTATAAACTGTGAATATTTACTCAGATTTCCTTGACTGTGGCCAATAAGGAAACTGGCAGAGAATACAGTTCAGAGTTGTTACCTTCACAACGGCGTCTCTACAGTCAGATGCCTGTTCACAGCTCAGGGGCTTGGTCACTCTCTCTCTGTTCGTCATGAAGGAGCGCTGGGTCAAACTGTTGGTCAGAGACGATTTCGGCACCTGCAAAAAGCTTATTATTAACATTTATTTAGATATGGATGAAACAAATCCATCTTATAGGAGCTTTAATGATATGCTCAAACCTGTAACAGTGATGCTGCTACGTTGAAGTGCTTTGATTTGCTGATGTCACACGTGTCCAAGTTATTTTGTGTGTTTGCTAACAAAGAAAGTAAGACAAAGATAAATCACAAAGGTTTTAAATGGCCCCAAATTCTGAATCTTGTCTAGATGACCACTTAAGTTTTTTGTTATTTAAAAAAAAATTGGAAGTCAAAGTGAAAATTAACAAACAGTTCAGTTCATTCAGTTTAGTGCTAAGACACTGCACTGTTTTACCTTGCAATACACTTTACACAGCTCTATATTCAAGTGTTTGAACTCTCTTACCCTCAAATCTAACATTTCCCAAATGTAAAATGGCTGCCAGTAGCTTCACAACATCCTGACACTGGTTCTCAGAGAAGGTCAGAACCTTCATTGCTGCACTGATGCGTTGGTAGTCTTTATCATCTTCTCTGCTGTCACAAAGGATACAACCTCCCTACACACAAAACACAGCAATTATTCATTATTATATACACTGGCTGGCATAAATTACTGCAAGGAAATATTTACCTTAGTAAGAAATGTGTATTCTTTGGCATGTCCAAGGCTTAACACTTTTTTCTCCTCCTCTGATAGTCCAGCCAACAAGCAGTAAAAAATGTGGTAGTTGCGTTCCTCCAGACTCTTTATGAAAAGAGAGATGAGCCAAATATTGACTTTTTAATGTGTCAGGGTTTCCCTTCATTTACAACAGAGGTGTGTGTGTGTGTGTGTTTTTTTACTCAGAGCCAAGATAACTGATGACCTGTATGAACGAAGTCATATATTGCATATAGAGAGATAAGAAGAGGTAGTCTAGGCATAAGGGTTACTCTAGTTAGGTAAATATATGCGTGTTAAGTAAGTAAACAATAATAATAATTAAATAATATTTGTAGGGGTGTCAAATTATCGCGTTAATTGCGATTAATTAATTACAGTCATATTTAGCGCGTTATGTTTTTTAATCGCGTTAATCTCATTTTTAATCTCTAACTTTACAGTTTCTGTATGCGAGTTGCTTTATTATAAAATCTGTTTTTATGTGTTGTTGGGACAACAACACACACACACACACACAAAAAACACATTCATTATTTTTTTATTTCGGTAATTCCACTCATTGCCGGAAACCCACACAAAACGCGCGCAGTAAGAGCGATGTAAACGTCATGTTAACGTTTGCCGCGTTAGTCGCACAATGGACGAGGTCGAAGAGCCAGTAGAACAGAGGCAGCAGTGCACAGGTAAAAACACATTCGTGTCTTGGAAATTATTCTCCCGACGTGAAATATAAAAGAAAATAACAAATATAAAATCGCCTACAACTTAAATGTCACTGGTGAAAACAACCTGCATAGGCTCATGATGTCTGCACTACTGTCCTATAGTGACCTGCCACATGAGGGGAGATGCACACAAACACACACAAATACACACAAACACAAATACACACAAACACAAACACACCTTCATCATCGTCATTAACCTGAGAACGCGCGGACCACGTTTCTTTCCGTAGTTACTGCGCGGACACCGACGTGCTCCCGTGCGCCGCGTCCGTTTTCTCGCGTACGCTGCGTAAACCGCGCTTCCTCCTGTGCGCCTCTAAACTAGAACTAACACCAAGACTAAAACCGGGACTGACTAAAACCGGGACTAACCCAGTCCAGGACTAAACCACGACTAAACCAGGACTAAAACCAGAACTAAAACCAGTGATCTCATATATAAAGCATTTCTCTATCAATAATATTTTTAATATGGTTAAGGAAAGACTGGACTTTTTATTGTCTTTAAGTAGACAAAAGTTATTATGTTCAGATTTGCTCATCTTTGCTACTTTACAGCAAACAGTTTCTTATTCATGGAGACTTGGGCTCAACAGTCAATTTGGAGAGATTTGTTAAACAATAAATGACTTTATAAAGTCACTTTTTTTTTGTTCTATATCAGTCTTTTGATCTGCCACAATAATGTAATAATGAATTTAAATGAAAATACCTCAACTTGAAGGCTTTTCTCAGCATTTTTTAGGTGAGATTAAAAAGAGATTAATTAGATGAATTAATTACAGATCATAATTAATTAATCTCTCAATTTTTTTAATCGCATGACAGCACTAAATATTTGTACACATATGCTTTTTCAGCTGCTATAGGTTCTCAAAACAAAACTGGGTTTAAGAGGCTTATTGCAGAAATTTAAGAATGATGTCCGTTTAGGAAATTGCTGACCTGATGGCACACACGAGATTTCTCCAAAAGATACTGCTCGACACGTGCACCTTCGATCACTCCGCTCTTATTGAAGAAGATCTCCAGGTATTTCCCAAAGCGACTGGAGTTGTCATTGCGAACTGTTTTTGCATTTCCAAAAGCTACATGGACAAAACACAAAGTTGGATGTCCAGTGTTTAGGTTGTCTTAAGTTATTAAGAACAATGTGTTTTGTTTTCAATAAAACATGCCTTCGAGAATTGGGTTTGATTCCAAGATTTGTTGCTCTATCTCCTGTTCAGAGAGCTGCCCACTTACAGCAGCCAAATAATGGAGGAGCAACTTGGTGCTTTCTGTTTTTCCAGCTCCAGATTCTCCACTGAAAACAGTTTTACAATGAGCAAAAATTATAATTAAATTGACTGTTATGTATACCCGATTCAATCAGACCTGATTATACAGCACTGGTTCCTCGAATGGCGTTTCATGTTGTAGTAGCAGGACTCAGCGATGGCAAAGATGTGAGGAGGGAGTTCTCCAAGCTTTCGCCCATGATACAACTTTATCTAAGAAGTAATATACAGTTCCTTCACACTTGTGTAAAATAATACAAATCATCATATTTTAGTAAGTCATCTGAGTGCAATTTACAATTTTAATAGCATTTATACATGCTTACCTTTTCGTTTGAATACAATGGGAAATTCTGGTAAGGGTTTACTGCCACCAACACAGACCCGATGTACGTCTAAACAAAACAGAAAGTTAGTTAACTGTGGTCTTTATTACCATTAAAAGCTAATTATTTTTTAAAGAATTATTTTCACAAACATTTCTATTCATGTCTTTATCTTCTGTCTTATTTAAAATATTTTAAATACATTTTTATAATCATATGGTACATTCTTACATAGATGATGCCTTTCTTGTGACGCAGCTGGAGATTTCGCAGAAGTCCAGCCTCAGTCATGTCTCCGAGTTTGATCATGTCATCCACTCCTTCCACTGATGTAGGGTGCATGGTTCGGACACTGGCTTCTAGCTCCGGAGAAAGCCATTGCTCCTAAAATAAGAAGTATATAATTAAAATAAAGACACAAGCTCAACATATGTGTTTCCTGAAGATTAAGTGATATCTACCTGTCCATCATCATCCACCAAAAAGCGTTGACCTGATGGGGTTACTTTGACTCGGGCTCCAATGGGGACCCCAAATTCTGAGTCCAACCACACCCACTCCCCCTAAACAGACAAGTAAACAACAAGTAAATCAAAACATGGTTGCATATTAAATACAGTACATTTACCTGATTATACAAACAAAATACAAAATTTGCACCTTTCTCAGAGTTGCCATTTTGCCCTTTCTGCTCCCTAAATAAAAATAATAATAATAATAGCAAGATTGACTTTCACCATTGGCAAGAATAAACTGTCATGAAAATATTTTTAATAAATAAAACATACATCTTAAAATGAATAAACAGTACTTGCCTGTCTGTCAGTAATCCGTCATTCTCCACAGCACACAGTAGAGTCAGCAGAGAACACCTACTTCGAGCACTGACGCCTAGACTTTATGGCATTTTGACTTTGAACTGACTGTGAAGGAAGAGGAAGAACCTGATCACCTACTGAGGGTGGTACCAGTCGGTAATCCAGCTTGATTTCCCTGAAACATAAAGCTTCATGTGATAGACAAATGGTCATTAAAATATTTCTTGAAGGAAACTGGAAGACTTTCAATATGTACCACAATGGGGAAAATATAACCTCATCGCACATGTACACAAAATGATCTTGATAAGGATTCCCCTGGGCCTAACAGTGGTGTTGTAATAAATTTATGTGTAACCTTTGTACAGTGACTGCCAATGACTGGAGATATGGCAGCAGATCTCTCGAACAGATACTGCAATAAAGATGAATAAGATTAGGCTTTTTTTTCTGAATTGGCTATGACTATAACATCTTATTTAATGCAATTCTAGCTACTTTATGATTTTTTTTTTTAATCAACTGCTGATGATTCACTGGCGTCAGTATGACGAGAGGTGATAAAGTAATCTATATTATTATTGTTTTATGTTACTGGGTTATAACAAAGATACGTTCAATCTAAGGCGTGGCTCACTTGACCGCAGGTGGATTATGACAATGAAGCATCCTCTGTGATATAATTCTGTTATCTGTTTACATAGTTTAAATTATGACACTCCTTAGTCATATTGATCAGACGAGTGTTTTAGTTACGTAAAACTGAAGACCTGTAGTTACTTTAGGAAACAGATCACAAAGTGAGTTAATTCCGATTTATTTTAAGATGAAGACACAAACAGCACTGTACATTTCTCTAGACGACAGTACAAATGATAATTGACACTGAACAAAAAATATACAGATGTTATCTTTCAATTTGCCAAATAGTTTAAACACAAGTCAATTAAATTATTCTTTAAAAGGTTCACCATGTAAATTTTCTGGTGGAGTCTGACACCTGTTTGTCTCCATAGAAATGCTATTACATATCCATCTTGAAGTTATTCAATTACAGGTGGTTTTATTGCTCAGAAAATGCATTCTTACTGTGTGCAGGCCCACCTCTTCTTGGACCTGACCTGTACCTTGGCCTGATGATGTCATCTACTTGTCTACATGGTGATAGATGCCATGCTGAGGAATAATTCACAGCAATAACATCGTCATAGAAAACGGGCGGCGGACCTTCCACCAGAAAAGTAACATGTGTCACCTTTAAAACACACATAAGCCAAGTTATTAAAAACACAGCTAGTGATGTTGAAAAAAACATATATAACTAAAGCTATAAAACTCTTCTTAAAGCACTATGATACAGATTTTAAAAAAAAGAAAATGTGAGTATAATTCATGTTTAAAAAGCAGATTGCATTCAAGTAATTTCCAACATTGTATGAAAATCAACAGGAGTCAAAGAGTTGATAAATTACTACATGTCTTGCAGATTTGAGTACACTCAACACAGATGTAGGCTGTATATTATGTAATCCTATTTGTCCAAAACCAAACCAAGGCAGCTCAAAACAGGCCACTTAAAAAGATTAAAATACACCCTAAATGGCACATATAATACACTTGGTTTCAGTTAAAATTATTATTGATGTGCTACCACTGCTGCCCTTATGCAATAACAGACTATTCTAATTCTGTTATTACAAAGAAAAACTGTAAATGTTTGTCTCATATTTGCCTAAAGGTCTGTCACTCCTGAATCCAGTCAGAATTTGAACTAAAATATGTTAAAAAGATCACACATATTACTATGTAAAAAAAGCTATGTTACACCACTGATCCATTAGATCAATAAACAAAGCTATGCTATTGCTGAAACTCTACAGACCCGAGTAAAAATGTTGAAAATTTCCATAAAATTTCAAACTCTTTATAAGACCATTTATGCTTTAACCTAAATAAGCCAGCACATACTGGATAATAAAGGGAACAATTTTAGAAAAACAAGTAAAAATTTTATCATTGAGCAACACTTGTAGCAAGTGCTGTATGCAGAAATGCAAAGCCCATTTTGACTCAAGTCTGTGAGTAAACTATAACATAATACTGTGTCGTCTAATGAAGGTGCTAAAGAAAATGTGCAAATAAAATATTTTCTTCAAGTGAGGTTTAGGATTCATTAGTGTTGGGCCTTTGGAGTTCTGCGCTGTACTTCAGAGCTGCACAGTCTGATATCAACTGCACATCCACTCGGGTAAAGATGGAAATGACCTAAATGCATTTACAAAATCAGTAATCATTGTGTGCTTAATGTACACCCGATTGGAAATGTGTTCAATGATCATCTAAGGAAGAACAGCCCACCTGCTGGACTGGAGCTTCATTGGGGTTTTCTGGTTTCCAAACAAGAGTCAGCTCAGTTGTTTTTCCAACCTTATGTTTATGAAATGCATCAACACCAGCAATGTGCTAATAATGGAAAAAGATCATTTGTTTGACACAAAGGCATCAGAAAGTATGAAAGAGTGATCAGTGGAACATGTGAAATCTGACCTTAGGGTAAATGCGTTTCTGAACTCCATAACGGAGAACCAGCACGTCAAAGGCCTGGTCCAGCACTCCCATCACCATGGCCTCAGACTCCAACGGTCCACACTCCTGAACAGAGGACATACACACACGGCCTAACTGGGGTGGCAAATGTACATACCACTAATACAACATTAGAGGTGTCCAACTTTTTTCAATGCAGGGTGCCAATCAAGGGCCATAAACTATTTATCCCATTCAAATGGGTGCATTTAGCCCAGGTTAGACTGAGTTAACAGGCCTCCAACTAGGCTTAGAACATCAGTGAGACACCTTCAATGAGAGACAATATGCATTAAAAATCACTAGGATTCCTGATGGTCAGGTAAATTGATTTGAGGATCACATAGTTTGAACAGGTCTGTACTACACCAGATACACATACTGATACACATACTGATGCTCATAATTTATTTACATTAAGTTTTTTGAAAATACACAGACAAGTTAAATATAATAATACTACCATAGTGTATTAATGGAGCATTTGCTCACCTTCACAAACACCCCAAAGAACAACTCAGTGCTGAGCTCATGGACTCTTTTGGCTGCAGCCTTTTTGTCATTGCAGTGTATTGCTTGTTTTTGCACTTCTTTAGTTAGCAGTCCCAACATAGGCCCACAATCTACTCAAACAGAAAAATGTTACTTTAAATGTTTACCATATTGTCACATGCAGTGTAAAGTATTTGTCATACCGAGTGATGCAGCCAGGAGCCTGTGGACAATGACATCGGCGTATCTTCTGATGGGAGAGGTGAAGTGTGTGTACAGAGGAACATTCAGGGCGTAATGTTTATACTGCTGCTCGTCTGTCTTCTGCCCAGAGCAGAAATACTGGGCCATCTAAAGACAAGTACAGTATTCAAAAATGGCTTTTTATTAAATAATACAACTGTTTTTATGTTTTAATGTGTGACAACACTTTCCTGCATGGGTCTCGAACACATGTGAGTGAGGACTTCCTTTCTGGCAGCAGAGTACTGATCATTCCCAAGAGTGGTAATAAGTGTTTTCTATAGAGTGAACAATATACATGAGAAAAAGACCAATTAGGACTCTTGATCTATGACAATTTCCCATAAACCTACATGTAAAGCTCCCGCTGAGGAAAAGTCCAAGTTTATTCCCAAAGTGTCGCACACTTCCTGCAGCTGCTGCACAAGTTTGGCTTTGGGTGGAGGGTGGCATCTGAGCAGAGCCAGCTCAGGAAAATGTCTGTAGATGTGATGTGCTGTGGCTATGTTGGCCAGTAACATGAACTCTTCCACCAACCTAAAGACAACACAATCAAGTTTGACACAGTACATTAAAGTTTTCCCGTTTGCTACTCTTCTGTGGTTTCTTATTTATATCATCTGAAAAAGATATACTATAAAAGGCCAATAAATTCTTTATCTGCTTTCATCTGGCAATGAGTGTAAATTAGATAAAGACAGTGGCTTACTTCCTTATCTCGACTGTATTCCACTTCTTTAACCTATTTGTATTTGACTGCTATTGTAGTGTCCGCACTTGTCCTAACTCTTACCATGCAACGGGGTTTGAAGGTAAACCAAGCTAACAATTTACAACTTTACTTATTCACTAAAACACAATTGTTATTGTCAACCAGTCTAGTTCGATCAGTGCGTCATTATTCTATACTGTCAGACTGATTCCAGTGCAAGAAAAGCTTTAAACTCACTTGTTACTGTCTCTGTACTGGTAAATGTAGCAGCCTTGAGGCATCATAGTTTCTTTATCCAAGGTAAAAGACAGCTTCAACTGAATAGAAAGTGTGGTGTAAGAATCACAGATGTAACTGTAAAAATGTCGTAATTATATCGAAGCATAACTGACCTGGTCCAGACGGAGAGCCCCTCCGCTGAAGCGCTGTGTACGGAGGTTCTTAGCGATGGAATGCAGATGTAGCACAGCCTGGTGGATTTCATCAATGGGGTGTTCTGGGTCAAACGGTGGCAGCTCCTCTGCAGTGAACAGTTTTTCTGGTGCCTCAATCATGCTCTGTGCATGGTCGTATGTTAGCTTAATACAGGAGCGAATCACAGAGCGGCCAAACCACTCGCTCAATATCTGACAGGAAAAAAATTTTGAATATGAAGAAAAAAAAATGCAAATGACTGTCAGCATAGTACAGTACATACCTTTCCTTCAGGAGTAAGTTTCCAAATGACAGAGAAGGTGAGTCTGTCTGTGAGAGGGTTAAGACTGCAGAGTTCCTCACAAAGTAGTCTCGGCAACATGGGAATCACCTATAAAAAACCAAAACATGTTAAAAATGGAGTAACATTTCAATAATAAGAAACAACAACATGACAAACCCTTTGAACAAGGTACACACTGGTAGCCCTCTGACTGGCCATCAAATCCAAAGCGTTGCCCTCCTCCACAAAATAAGTGACATCAGCAATGTGGACACCAACCTCATAATTACCTATGTGATATCAATATAAATATGTAGTTGTTGCATTGATTCTTAATATCTAAACAACAGAATCATTACCATCTGGGAGAAGTTTACAGGACAGAGCATCATCCAGATCTCGGGCTGTTGCAGGGTCAATGGTGAAGATACACTCCTTCCTGCAAACATCACCAAAAAATAAATATTACTGACCAGTACAGGGTATATGGTGTTTAATCATGGTAATCTGTAGATACCTAAGATCTCGTCTTCTCTTTATCTCCTCTGGAGGAATGGTCCAAGGCAGGTTCTTGGGGAGGCAGTCTAAAACCTCAGTTGTAAAATCAGAGAAATCCACTTCATATTCAGTCAGGATACCCTCAGTCTCTGGCTCAATTTCGCCAGCTTGACCGAGCGATTTGGCAAGCAGTCTATACACAGAAAGAAAAAAACAATAAATACATCTTAAAAGTATTTCTTCATAACAAAATTAAAACATACCCTTGTGCAAAGTTGTTGTCAGCAGGCCAGTCCACTATCCTGCAAATAAACAGTGTGTTGGCATAGTCGTCTGGCCGAGAGCTGAAGTCTTGTGGACAGTCAGACAGAGGAACATTGATGCGGGGCACGCGGTGATCCGTAGGGGAGAACATGGCAAACTTTTTGTCAGGCAGAAATTTCAAGAAGCCCGTCACAGCCCTTGAATGCTTCTTCTCAACAATGTAAACAACCTGATGAAGAAAACAGATATAATTTAAGCCAGATATATTACGAATATGAAAAAGTACAGTATAAATATGAGGCATATTATAGTTGTGTAGTAAAAGTAAGCATTCTTGACTCACTTTTGCGGTTTTCTGGAGCTCACCATCACTTAATTGTGAAGGAAAGGGTTTATCCTGGGATTTATCTAATCACAATGGACAACAATGTTAAAAAAAAACATGACTTTGCCCATACATGAATCTTTAGACCAGGATTGTCACTTACCATTGGCACAGTTTGCACAGAGATCTTGGTCACTATCCTCTGGTCTATTAAGCTGCTTGTTCACAGCTTTAACAGTTTGTTTGCGGGGCGTTTCGGACTCACTGGCTCCATCACAGTCAGAATCAGACCGTACAACCTGCAGCATTACAACCATTGCAAATAATTTAAATTACTATGACAGAGCTAGCAGTTTTATCATGCATTTTACCTTCCACTGATCCCGAGGCAGGATTTGCACCACAACAATGTCTCCATTCAGAGCTCTGTTACGAGCTACAATCCCATCAAGAAATATATCCCGGCCATCGTCCTGTATGGCATAGAAATACTATTGAGCACCTGAGTGTCTTAGATTTGTGACATCTCAACAATTAATTTTGGAAAATAACTTACGGGACAAGAGATAAAAGCTTCATGGTATTTCTTAGGGTTAATTCTTATCTGACCCTGTTGAAAAATGGGCATTAGGGACAACGAACACTATTGCAACATATACAAATGTACCTCAATGAGTTCTCCTCTTTTTAGGCCATGTGAGACCTCCTCTACTGGCATGTAAGGCTCAAACACTTGTTTTTTGGACCCTTTGTTCTTTTTCTTATCTGCTGGAGAATTGGCTCCTAGATTATAGGTTTACAGTGTTAGTCAAATTGAAACCATGAAAGGTTAAAAAAAAAAAAAAAAATCAAATAACTTGCCTTTATTTGGTTGGAGTCTTTGGTCTTTTGAAAGTGGTGGCATCTGTGCCTCAACTTCAGGCTTGGACCTATTTCTCTGGTCCTCTTTCTGTTTTGCTGGGCTCTTTTTCTTGGACTTCTTGGTCATCTCTTGTTCTTGCTGACTTGTACTTGTTTTGTTTGGAGATTGAGGACCGTCTTCATTGGACACTACACTTTTTTTATGCTGCTTCTGCTGTTTCTTTGATTCATTTAATGCAATCAATTCCTCACCAGATTCAATGTCCCCATCATGACTGGTAGTTGTATCCCTCCTCTGGCCTTTCCTTAGCCTCTCAGACACATCTGGCATCAGCTCATAGTCCGGAGGCCCATTACCAGTGCTAAGTTTCTCCATATACGTAGACAGGGAGCTCTCTCCAGGTTTGTTTTTCAGAGAAGAGGGCGAAAAGTCACTTGAATCAGAAAAATCATTTAGTAGTTGATCCCTTCGTCTCTGTGGTATATTCAGTCCATCACTCTGGACGTGTGAGGTATTGGGGCCATTAACTTCATTTTGACCCAATGTGTTCCGTGCAAATTGCTCCAGGTAAGAGTTAAACTTGCTGCTGCGATGTTGGCTGAGGAGTCTGGCATAGGCATCTTTCTGAGGAGGCATGTGGGACTTGTTCTGGCTGTCCTTGGTTTTGCGATTTTGGTTGCCCTTTTTAGATTGAGTTGACGAATCCATTGTGATTATAAAAGATTCTGAAACATTATAAATATGAACTTGAATGAATAACTTGAATGAAAGAATGAATAACTTGAATGTAATATAAGTAATGTTATATTTGTATGCACGTGTCTTTTTATGTTTTTGGATCAAACTAGATATCTGTGACATGTATAGCGAATTCCCGTTCTGTTTTGGACTTAACTCGTCCCAAAATTATACCATTAACCTGGCATACGCCCAACTTGTTATAAAAGGAGTTGAGTAACATTAGCTGGCTGACATTTAAATGAGGCGGTAACTTAATTTCACGTGCTTGACACACAACACTACACTTAAACCTTATACTTACTTATACGTACTTTTAACTTATTGTCTGAGATGAGCAAGTTTTTTTTCTTTTCCCACACGCTTGAAGATAACCCAGGATTATATCAAAGAGTCCAAGTTTATAGCTAACATACATACCAGCGAGTCGTGAACATGCAAGGCTTTAGCATCACCTTAGCGACAACAGCTAAAATCTGCTTTAACGTCTTTATCTTGAGACCATTTCTTATAATTTAACACGACAGTTTACTTTTACACAAACTGTCTGTGTCATTTTGTCTGAACTTACCTTGTGTCTGTACAGTTTCTATTTCTCAAGAAGTGTCGTTGTTGTTCAGCACCAGCGCCGGGGTTTCCTCTTCCGCTGTCGTCACCACAGGGGTTAAGGGTCAAACAGACACTGTTTGGTTTTTTTTGGTTTTTTGTGGTTAGCCGTCAGCTCGGAGCTAAAGCTAAAACACTTTGTAAAAATGTCTGAACTCTAAACTGTGAGGACTTTGGTGAATGAGAGACTGGCCGGTATTTGCTCTGTTTAACGGTATTGCAAAGAAAACCACGGGTATCAGGTGCTCCAGCATGAGGGTCCTGCTCTGAGTAGTGTCCACACTCTCTCAAGTGCTGGCTTTGGTCTAAACCATGGTGGTCTGAACCAGGAAATCACTCTACAACAGTTAAAGAGGACCACTAGTTAAAGAGGACCCAGAAGAGCGTCAAACAGAGAAAGACCAGCTGCCAGTGGCCTTCTCCCAGGACACTGTGTCAAGACTGAAGAGTCCCCCTTCAGCAAAAACTAACCGAGCACAGATAAGAAACACAGCGAGGAGACACTAGAGCAGAACCACATCTCCACTCAGAGACCAGAGTCTTCTTCTGACGCTTATAATGGAGTTGCCTGGAGATCTCCATTCAACTGTTCAGGTGTACAGAAAGGAGACAAAGGCAAAGGGAGACCACTACAACCAAGTCCAGATCAGAGGCCGGAAAGAAACAATTCAAAACTCAGGTCGATCCACCATGGACAAGACTGCCTTAGAGACTAGTGCCACTGTAAACAATGTTGAGATGTCCAGGGCTGACAAAGGAATCAAAATAACAAGATACAGTGCTCTGTTTGTGAAGAGTTTCTTGAGTAAAGAGCAGCTACAAACACAATGTTCACATAACAAACTGTTCAGTCTGCAAGAAAACCTTTTTCATGAGGGTGCTATAGATAGATAGATAGATAGATAGATAGATAGATAGATAGATAGATAGATAGACAGACAGACCTCTCTTACACAAGTGTGCACACAGAAGAAAGACACTGCTGCTGGCTTTTTGTCAGAAAACACCATAAACCATAATTTACAATAATACTAATCTACATGCACATATGAGAAGTCATGCTGGTACAGCTGTGCAAGCTTCTAGAAAACCCTTGTCCAAAAGTGTGTTCTCAAAGTACACATGAGATTACACACTGACAAAGACCTCTCTCTGTAAGAAGATTTTCACAAAATGCATTTATAAAAAAAATACAGATTTGTCTTTTTTTTTACTTGAATATTATTTAATCATATTTACTTATTGAAATTGAATAGATGGGAGGCAACCATATACTGTATATAATAACAATAACAAAACATACTATTTCTTGTAAATATCTAACATTTCTGTGCCAAGATGTGATAGTTTCTATTCTCAACCACCACTAGAGGGCAGCCATCACTTAATGCATGGAAGTTGAAGGTCCATGATTTAAAGTGAAGAGGATGCATTAGTTTCTCTCTTGTCGCCTGCAATGAAATGGACGATTGGGTATGTAAGCCTTCATAATGCAGGACTGTTTTCTCTCTGTAAGAATCTAAATGTTTATCTCCCACAGGTCGTGTTGTGGATCTACACAAATCCATGGAAATTACATGCCTGGATAAAAAATAAATAAAAATTAGCAGGTCTGCATTTGGCCTTCTTGCTGTGCAGACCATCAAAAGCAATGTTGCGCCTCACACAATTAAGTTTGGTAAAAACTCAAAGGTTAATATCTTCTTAAGTTTTTGTAGTTGTAGCAGCAGACCCTAATAAATGTAGTGTATTCTCTATCATATCAAAGTCAAGTATAAAAAAGGCAACAATCCAGTGCCTACAAATACTTATATACTTATCTCATTTCCTGTGATCATTTTTTTTTTATTTATGCTATGGGAAAAAAAAGTTCTGATTTATTTATTTATTTTGTTGTTGATGCTTAGACGTTAGCCCTTATTAAGTCCTGGTTTAGCCATTTGTGACTTTTATCTGTTTATGCAATGTTATTATGATTTTACTTACTATTGAGCTGGACATAAATATAATCCTCCTTTAATTATCTTTTGTGAGAGCAAAGCTGGTACAATAGTAGTTGGTACCAGGGTTGTGGTTGTAAGGACCCAAGTTGTAAAGCATGCCGATGAAGCAGCAAACGCCTATCAAATATTCATTAGACCCGGGGAGGCTGTGGGCTGCTATGGAAGATGAAACAGAGAGGGCAGGAGCAGTCACTTTGTGCCTCTGCACTATTTGCCTCATTTTACTGGGCACTTTCTGTACTTCAGTCTGCTTCAACATCAAGTTTTTCTAGGCCATCATGTAACTATTTGGACTTACATTGGAATTTTTAGGTTCTGTGGCATAATAAGTTATTAATAATCGCATTTCAAATTTTAATGTAAAGTTAAACATCTCTATTGTGGACCCAGACATCCCACATGGATGAATTGAGGAATGAAGATCTATTTTAGTCACAATTATACACCTATATTTTGACTTAAATCTAATAAGCTTTAGCTGTACATGTAATTTAGCACTATTCCACTCAGGCACATTACACAGAAGTACTCTTTTGTGAGGCTTCAATATAATGTTTCCATCATTTGAGGCAATATGTTAGATCTCAAGGAAGTCTTTTCTTTCCTATTGTTAGCCCATTCAAACACAGCAGAGTTACAGTGCAACACAAATGTATTCGCCGGAGGGACAGGACTTGGTGCAACGACCTCATGGTGGGTTCTCCACAGCCATCAGCCCCACTGCCATGGCAACATCTGAGAGTTTCTGAAAGCTTTGAACAGCAAACACCCCTTCAGTAAGTTTTTTTTTTTTTTTTTTTTTTTTTTTTGTCTGAAATTATTGACATATTGAATGATATTTAAAAATATTGTAAGCAGTAGTTTAACCGGTTGACAGTGGTTAACAGTGATTTGCATCCTTCAGCCAGTTTACTTTGTTGTGTCCAAGAAAACCAATACTCCTTCCCAAATAGCCTGTGTGAATGTTTAAGTATGTGTGACTGGTGAAACCATAAGACACAAAAGTGCATTATGTAACTTTACTGCTGAAAGGCCCCCCCAAACGCTTGTCTCCATGAATATGTTACAATCTGGCCACGTTACATGTCAGATCTGTAGACGTATGACCACGCTAACAGTAGACATGGTTTTCAATATAAAAAATCTGTAACTGAAAAAAATGCAAGATAGATAAGTCCATAATGTGGAATATTCCTGGCAAAGAACAACATCTTTGTGCACCTATTACTGTTCATAAAACGATGACTAGAACTGCTTCCATCCTTTTTTGTACCATAGGCGCGTCCTTATTATGACGAGTCTATTTTTAGTGTCACTCTAATTGCAATGCTACTCTTCCTTCATCATCTTCATCTTCCTCACAATCAGAAGCTTCGGTGCACTTCAGTCCCGGACAGCTCCCGTGTGTTTCCCACGCGCCGCCCCCCTCCGGCAGACTGAAAGGAGCAACCACACACGAGCAAGCGACACTGAAGTGGCCAATTCCGCCTTCATTGGGAGGGACAGTGGCTTCGGGAACATTTTGGTGTGCTGCTAGTCATCACAGAGCTCTCACGTGGATCCGAGGAAGAGGATGGCAGCACCATTACGGTGTGTTGGTGGATTATGGACAATAGTGAGATGAATCAAGGAACGAAGGATGTGGGAAGATCGTGGGGACTGAACAAGGAACGCGTTTGTTTTCACCTGTGAGGTGGATATGATTCACGACACAATGCACTTTTCACTGCGTGTAGTGGTTTTTATGGTCATGTCTGTCACACTTCGCCAACTGTTCGAAGATCCTTGACCGCGCTTGTGAACCGGAACCATGGCTTTGGTGTATACCCTACTGCTACAGACAGCAGTTGTTTGGGCTTCAAATTACGGGTACGTGGAGTGGTCAGACAGTGACAGAGACGAGAAAAATCCTCCGGTCTTCAGCACCCAAAACATTTACCGGGAGTCGCTCCATAACCCCACGTTCGACGCGCATGTTCCAGCCACTGAGCGCGCGGTAGTGGCGCACAAGATCGAGGAGGACTTGCCCCGAGTGGTGACTGCCTTCCTGCACACGGGGGACTCTTCGGCGCTCAGGCAGGTAAACTGTTCACGGAGGTATGAGCTCAGCAGCCTGAGAGGCGGCCTGCACGTGGCTTCGCACTATTCCCTACACAGCATCTTGGATACAGTTGCGCACGCCACTAACTTCCTAAACATGATCCTCCAAACGAACAGGTCCCGGGAGCAAAGTGTGCGTCGGGACATCCACTGGTATCACGCTCTGGTGCAGAGCATCTTGGAAGGGGATCCTAAAATTCACAGGGCAGTAGTTACTTTTCACTCTGACGCACACACATCTGGCCCTCACGTTTTTCTTCAGGCGACAAGAACCGAGAAGGATGTGGTGCTACAAGACCTTTCTGCGTCCGCGCACAGGCGTCTCAGGAGCAGGGGGCCCGAGTCAGACTGGTTTAATGACATCAGAGACGGGAGACCCCTCACACACAGGAAAGTACAGGATGTGTCAGCTTCTAAAGGTGAAAGTTACCTCCTGGATAAGAACCAGATCAAATGGTCTGCCCCTTACTTGGAGTGTGAGCACGGGGTCTTTGTGCCCTACTGGCTTCTCACTCTGTCTGCAGGCTTCTACGGACTCAAGAATAACTCTGCTCCCGAGTTCAGGTGAGTTACAGTTTCACATCCAAAATATGTTTAGTGTTATGATGATAAAACAGACGCTCAAATATGTATGACCAAATTGCCAAAATTTTACAGTATATAGCAAAGTGTGGTGTTAAGATTCATTGCCAATGTAAAGATATGCGCTGGCACTCATTATAAGTATGCTCATGTGTGTCTTTGATGGAAGAAGCAGATGGTGAGTGCACTTCAGACACAGGTAAGCTCCACATCATATGCAGACCTGTCAAACTGCAGCTGTGCCTCTGCTGCTGCCCAGATCACAACAGTGTGTTTCTGATGCAGGATTAATACATGAGATTGAGCTGAGAGACAGGTATAGCTAAACAAAAGATATAAGAGAAAAACGCATGAGGTTTTGGGACCTCATATTACATCACAATTTACATTTTAAATACAATCCATGCATAATAGAAAGTTGTATAGTTTTGCATACTGTGTTGTAAGTCCTGTTATACTTTAATACAATACACTCCCATCCCTTTATATGACTTCTGTTACTTCTAAAATATCCCCACTGTATCTTTCTCTAAACTTGAGCCTGTAGTGTCATAAGCATCAGCTTTTCCAGACAAGTAACGTTGCGACTTTTTTTTTATTCGTAAACCAAATTGTAACTAACATGGAAAGCTAGTTAAAGCCACTTCCATCTTTGGACATATTTAGTATTCCTTCTATAAATGTCTTTTATCTTCTATTGAGACACCTGTCTTTGGGCGCCTCAGTCCATCAGGCTGACGTGATGGGGGTGTTTATTGCAGAGACAGTTCTTGTGTAACTGGCTTAAGGCTCCTGATAATATTAAGTGTGGTTAAATTAATTCTGCAAATGTATTCATAATGACTCAATCAACTTTAAGAGCTTGGCCTGGGGCACTTAGCAGGAAACTTGAAGTGATTGTGACATTTTACAAGAGACCCGGCCATGACATACAACTCTGTGGCCATTTAAAGTATATCTCTCAAGCTTTTTCAGAGTTGTACAGTTTACCTCCTATGCTATGGTATTGGATTTTTTCCCACTTCAACCCACGATGGTGCTTCTATAAATAGTCCAAGGCTTGGCTCAGAATGGCAAAGCATAAGCTGGTGTAGATGATCAAGTCATTCCACCAGCTCCTTATCTGTAAAACTCTGGTGGGGGGGTCCACTCCCTGATTGACTATAAAGAAATATTATTGCTTGGCCAAGAATGTTCCATGCACAGTGAATGGACTGGTGTCTGTATAAGGATGGCCATACTGTGGGACATTCCAGATAAAGCAATAGCATCTCCATGGGGACAAGAAGGTGGCAAACCTTCCACCAGAAAACTTTGATAGCTCACCTTAAAGAATGAAGCACAGAAACCACATACAATCAGTTCTGTTTTTGAGGATTTCTCAGTTGTATTAGCTGGGTTTTAAAGCTGGGGTCTTCTGCTGTCTTAAAGAAAAGCTAGATTCTTTTCAGTGTTTCCACAGAAATAGAATCAACAATGCCACCACAATATTTTTTGCTTAGGTTTGAGATATACAGAAATATAGACTCTTCAGATATCAGACAATGTCCTGGATCTACAGCGTTCATTTCCATTCTTGTTGAACCATGCAATGACTCATTCCTGCATTTTCTGGTCCCTTTTCTTGCCTGTAGCCTTGACTGTCTCCAGCTCTCACACATCATATTCTTTTGGCTGACCTCACCTTTTGATTCACATGCTCTTTATTATTATCATCTGGTGCATGTACACAGTTTGCTGTATTCCCATGCTTCTTTTCTCTGCTATGTCTCTTATTTTTTTTACTATGCTTTATCACAGTGGTACTCAAACTGTGGTAAGTGTACCACTGATGGTACACTGCTCCTTCAGGTGGTACTCGACACTCCTCTGACATTTTTAATGAATATTTGGTCAGTTTTAAGAGCATTTTGTCCCTTGGATTTATGTTTCTTTAGAGCTAGTATCTCTATTGTGAAGTCCTGTAGTAGTCCTGGTTTAAGGTTAGGGTTCACTTCATTGATCCTATAAGAAATCGGTCATCTCTGTTTGACCCATCTTTCAGTTCTGCTAGGGCAATCTGAATGCCCAGAGGAAACATACCCAGACACAGGGAGAAGTATGCAAACTCAGAAAAGCCAAACCTGGTTGAACTTGACAACTTTCTTGGTGTGAGACAGTGCAGCTAGAGTAGTTCTGGTTTCTGCCTAGTTTAGAAGCCAAACATTTCCTTAAGTCGTGTGCTACTTTATGTGAAAAGTTTTGAGATATACTTCTTTTTCAAATATAGTAAAATATTATGTTATTTTTTTTCTAACACAGTATGAACTTAAAGGTGCTTTATAAAGTGAATATATGCATTGTTCAGCTCTGTTTGATCAGACCAACTGTAGTTCACAGTTTGAGATGCTGTTGTCATCTCCATGGTTCCTAAGACTGTCATGATAACATATTTTGAAGCATGATATATTTTTATGAAATATATGAATATTAATATTCAATATTTATCTTGTTACATGTGAAAATATACTTTTCCAATAAATATACTTTTTTTAAATGTTCTGTATCATTAAAAATCATGAGCTGGTGATGGCTGAATGAACTGATAATTAGCTAATTTACCATTTATTCTTTCTTTACAGCTCAAATCTTACTTTATTACATAAAAAAATCGCTAAAATCTCCTCACAGTATTGCAAAGAAATTGTACATGTGATATATTTTGAGCCCCAAATTATAGGTAAGGCCACGTAAGTTTATTTGTACAGCACAGTTCATACACAAAGTAATTCAATGTGCTTTATAGAATAAGAAAGAGATTAAAGTCACAGTACTAACAAATCAAAATATAAATAATCATCATAAAATTAACATTAAAAGAGGAGAGAGAAGAGCATGGAATAAAAACCTTTCAGTCATATGCACAGCTAAACAGAACTCTTTTGAGCCTGGATTTAAACATTATCATTATTGTTCCAGCTTTTATGTGGCAAATAGTCCAATTTTTATATAGTGCTTTTCCACCCAGCGAGGTGGGTTAAGGGCCTTGCTCAAGGACACAATGACAGCATTCATCTGTGGGAGCTAGAATTGCACTGTTCTACCAATGATGTTAATGTCGAGTGGGATTTGAACCACCAACCTTCAGACCAATAAACAAACACTGTACCAACTGAGCCCCATATATATTGAACAATAAGTGGATTTAGTAATTATCGTGACAGGCCTAATGGTTCTTTTCTTTGTTTCAGGGGTGTTGTGCGTGTGGATGTGAACTTACAGGATGTGGACATTGACCAGTGCTCAAACAGCGGCTGGTTCGCTGGCACTCACCGCTGTAACCTCACCAGCATGGAGGTGAGTAACTGATCTGTAAAACATTTATCAGGGTCTGCATTAATTACCTCTTACATCAGTCAGATTTAATCACACCACCTGAGCGCCAAACCCAGCACTGAAAGATCTTAGACAGAAATTTCATCTTTTATATAATTATTGCACTTGGAACTTCAAATATTGCAGCACATTTCAGTTTTCAGAAATGACAAAATCCACACACTATTGGCAGTTATGTGAAGGTATGAGACTGCGCGTTCTCTCCCCGTGTTGCTTTGTGTACTCATATTGTAAGCATTGTAATCTTGAAACCAAAACATAAAGCAGCATTATCCACAAAAAGATTCTAAATGTACAATATTGTTAAGAAACTATGAGCTGCAATAACCAAATAACGCATGCAACACTTAAGTAGTTTGTTTGTGTATATAATGAGTCATAGAAGTTCATAATTCAACCTTCTACAGGTCAAATTTCATCCTAGTACAGAAAAATAGCCAAAATGTCCCCACTAATGCAAAGAAAAATTACCCATGTCAAATACTGACCCCCCCAAAATTGTAGTGCCATCTGTCATGTATTGAACGATAAGACGATATAGTATTTATCATGACAGGCCTCTCACACAATGCACAAATGATTAAACTTGACAAAATGAGCCATTATTTATGTAATAGCCCAGTTTCAAGTGGCTTTAATACCAGCCTGTGTTCTAGTCTGTATATTCTATACAGAGGATCTCTCAGTCACCACCTCCTCCGCTGCATCTCAGGTCAAACTTAGACAAAGCTCCCCAATCAAGTTTGTTTATTTCAGTGATACATGGGACAGAAACAAGCTCACTAGTCATACATCATTTAGAACAAATTAGTTAGTTAGTTATTTCAAACTTGCACATACAATTTATGTAACAACATAACAGTACAGACGCAGATACAGACATGCACGGTTTGAAAAGGGGATGGATGAAGCGAAGATTATACATTTCCAATCCTCTCCCACACTTCACAGAACAACACTTCAACTATTCAATAGATGCATCCTGAATTTCGGACTACTGGTCATCACGCAATGCATACTGGGAAGGATCCTCCGAAAAAGTGAGCATCAAACCACCATGTTTGATTTCCCAGTGGGATGTGTCGATTGTCAAAACCAATCTTTTCAAGTCTTTTGAACCTCATTGCTTTTGTTTCTGGTTCTGATATTGTCATATTTTAGTTATGGGATTCGGACATCAAGCGCGCGCTCGGACGGAGCGACTCCGTCACAATGATGATAAAGTTAACCTTTTGACTGCCTAAGAAATCATCCCGAATTTGCAGTGAACATTTTGTATGTCATCAAGCGCCATCAAAGCAAAAACCCGATCTCTTGCTCTCTTGGTTACAAATGTAAAAAGTCAACACCAAAGCGAAAGGCACCAGCTGTTCACCAAGAAACACCTTCCACTGCAAAGCGACCAAGACATGGTGTTGCTGTAAAGCCAGTCGAACAAGAAAATGCAAGCTCAGCCTGTTTGTCTTCTGTACCTCTCGCTTAACTCATGGGATTTTGCTTTGATGGCGCTCCACATATAAAATGTTTGCTCCAAACTCGGGATACCCTGCATACCCTTCCCAGTATGCATTGCACAATGACCGGAAGTCTTGTATAGGCTGGTATGTTACATTACAAGACAAGACAGACAAACATTCACACACTCATCCAGACACAACACTGGCCCAACACTCTCTGACCCTACACCTCCCTCCCCCTGACATCACACTCTGTGGGCAAAATGAAATTCGCAATGTTATTAATTTCCTTTTTTTTTCTTTTTTTCTTTTTCTTTTTTTAAATATATTGCGTTTCCTGGATAAAATACATGCCAATCACACCTATCTAAACTTTAAAACTACAAAATAGTCAACTCATAAATAGAACTGTCCCTTTTACCATTCCCATATTATAATCCTATGCAATATCAGAAGAGCTCTTTTCATTGCCGATTTCAGTTATCAACTAGAAAAGCACTCAGAGAGCGCAGACCTCCGCCAAAGACTACCCCCATTTTTTATATATGCGATAAAATCAGTCTTCTGGATCAGATCCAGATCAGCCTTTGGAATATGAAAGAGGGTCCCATTGTCCATCCCTGAGTCAAATTTCATGGCGTTTGGTCAATAATTAACCGAGATATTGAGAAACAAAATTTTTGGCCCCATTTACCACAATGTTAACTAAAATTTCAAAGTGATCCAGAATCCAGGATTTCTTCCGGATCACCCCCAAAATGAAATCAGTTCTTCCTTTTCACATTTCCAACAAATCCTGAAAATTTCATCAAATTCGGTCCATAACTTTTTGAGTTATGTTGCTAACAGACAAACAAACAGACAAACGCTGGCAAAAACATAACCTCCTTGGCGGAGGTAATGAATGCCCTTGAGGTCGAAATGCCATGACAAACCTTCGGCAGTGTTCACATTCATGCAACATCTTTGAAGCCTGTTTGATTATACCAGTCCTGCAGTATTGAGGGTGAACAAAGCATTCCCACGTGACTGCAGTGACGTTGTAGACTTTCTATTTTGTCACTACAGGAGGTGAGAAGGAGTCGTGCATCGATCTCCAGTGTTTCTCTGTGTGGGCCCCCTCTCACTCCCGCAGTTGCCAGCCTGTTAGTTTTACGTGATGTACTGCAAGTATGAGTTGTGAGTCAGACAGGGGGAGATTTTGTGCTCACGCTTGCGTGGCTTGTCTCTGGCCACACGATGTATAATAAATGCAGAGTAATGGATTTCAGCAGTGGTAAATTATTGAGTGTGCTCTTTGTCTGGTTCCTCGCTCTTTTGGGGAAAATACATGGCATCGACATAACATGCTATTTTAGTGTAGATCTATGTGTTGTGCGATTTTTCTCCACAATCACCTTTCCGTGTCTGTCCATAGAAATGTGTGGTGATTGCGCGTTTGTCACTTCAAATGTGCATTAAATGTCTCTGAAAGCATTTTATATTCAGCAGTGAGGTGGAGACCAAATGTTTTTCAACTTTCTTTATGAATGAGTTTTATTACTTATTTTATTTAATAAGAAAGAGGTCTTATTTCTTATGTTAATGTTCATTTCACCATTTATTAAAAGCTTATACAATTGCAATTCATTTAATACAGTTATTAGAGTTATGTAAATGTGGATTTCTTCAAGGTAACACAAATGTGGTTCAACATTTGATGCAGGAATTATGTTTTCAATTAAAACAAAATTAACTTTACAATTATTTTGGTTTCAGAATCCAAAAGTGTCATCTTTTTTTTTTTTTTTTAACTAAGTTATGCTTAGAGATACATGTTTTGTTATTGTTATTGGCAAGTGGTCACCCAGAATATATGTAGTCATTTTACTTTCATTAGAGTAAAAAAAAATCATTGATATTGATATAAACATAATAACATTATAACCACTCTTACTTTACCTTATAAGTATTGTTGTAACATCTCCTGCTTCACAGCCACTTACAAAATAATCACAGTTTAATTTAATGTGCAGTGTTTCTTGTCCATAAAGCAACAAACTGTCAGTGGCAGCATTATAAAAACAGACTCATAGCAGTCAAACTCTCAGAAGAACAAAACTAGCATTGTAGGAGTCACAGCTTCATTCCAATGCTATCCATCCTATTCAATTGTATTGACTAATGAGCTTATTATAGTGTACAACATTGTTCATCTAATTGAATTTAAAGCCAAGTGAATCACAGACTTTGGCTCAGAGAAGCATCAAGTTACATTTCCTGAGCTGGCATCCTTTAATTTGCCGACCGGGTGTAAGACAGTTTTCTGATGGTGTTAGAAATATCTGTCATTCATCCCTGTTATGTAACTATGATACCCATCTCTGATTATATAAGAGGAGCTGACACTGTCTTTGAGCGGAAGCGTGTCTTTCCTGACCATTTGTCTTCTGTGACTGTTTTTATTGATCCATTCACTTCAGTGGAGTAGAAATAGTAGATTTGTGAAGTGTTCCTGTAGGTGACCACAGACATTGGACTAGCCAACTATTGTGACAATATGTGTTGGACTGGCTGACCGCCTGACAGAAGGAAATACATTTAGTACACAAAAGTTTTATTTGAACACTTTGAAAATGTGACTACAGATGTTTTATGATTTTTCTGTGATATAGGGTTGTTGATTTTTCCATATTCATATAAGGTAAATCAACAAAAGATTGCAGTCATTAAAATTAAGCATGACTAGTTAAAGCAAAGGTTATTGTATTTTGATAGTTTTGATGATTGGACCATACAGACTCTAAAACACATGCCAGATAACCTGTAGTGTTTGAGATTCCCTGCTTAGCCTGCTAGCAGGTAAAATGTAAGTAGCTATAGGTAGACCTATTGCTACTTACATTTTACCTGCTGAGTAAAGTAAAATCCTATAACTTTCCATATAACTTTTGTGATACAAATGTATGGATATTTACACTTTTTAAAAATGTTTGCTTTAACCAGCATAATTCATCTGAGATTAAGAATGTCTTTTCAGGGGAGTCCTGGCCCCAGAGGGGAGGAGCCTCTTGTACATGTGTTTAGTGGTAGGGAAAACTGGAGCAGGCACATGGAGAACATGCAAACTCCAAGAACTCAAGAATGCTGGCCAGTATGCCATTGTGACCAATTTACCATGCTCTAAAAACTCTTCATCTGAATGTACAATTGAAATCAAATGTCTTCTTTTTACATTATTGCTGTTCAAGAGTTAGGGATTTCAAACTATTTTCCTGTTACAGTCCTTTCATTGTTTAATAATAATGTATTTATATGGGAAACAGGCAAGGATTAAACAAGCCTCTTTGAATTTGCTGTTTTTGAAGATGTTTCTTTTTTTTTGTCTTCAATTTTATTATCATAACTTTAGGAAACCTTGATTTTAGTTGTTCTCTATCCCTTTTAATGAGCTCTGCTGGTTAGAGAGGAGCAGTTGGGGCTGGAAAGATGTGTCATTATTCACAAAATACAATCCTTTTGCAA